AATAGAGGTGGGTCACAATGAACCCCTGCTTGCCTCCTCCCAAAAAAACCTGGGAGGGTCCAAAAAAACTTGGACAAGGCTTGGGCGTAGGTGCTACTCTTGGCCAGCTAAGGCCCAAAATTTGGAGAGATGAATGGAAAGAAGTGGTTCACCTATTATTCCTCCTCAGTCCAGCAAAGAAGTACTTAAAATTAATTTGGGGCCAAAGGAGGGCCAAGGCTGCTCATCACCCCCCCCAATCCTTCCACTTCAGGCCATAACTCACTGTAGGACTTTAGGGTATATTATTATTATTATTATTATTATTATTATTATTATTATTATTATTTACATTTGTATACTGCACTTTGTTCAAAGATCACAGGGAGGTTCACAATATAAACAAACAAAATGAGAACCCAAAATACAGAATAAAACAAAAGCAAAAGCAAAAACCAACAGACCCCCTTATTGTGTCCTTAGGCCTCTGAGCCCAAGACAAACCTGTGCTATGGCATCAGAGCTGAAGGAGACAAAAGAGCAAGCTCACCTCCTTGGCCTCCAGCTTTTACCACAAAAGTGCCAGAGTAAAGAGCAGATCAGAGACTAATGCTTCTGAAGAAATCCCAGTTGTGCTACGAGAAGAAATACAATTTTGTAAATACTTCAGAGACTATACCTAAAAAGATTCTTTTTTTTTTTTTACAGTGTTGCTCCACTCGAGAATACTCTTAGTCTTTGCTTCCTCTGGAAGCAAGTAAATTAGCCCACGGGGATATGAATGGAAACCCTGCAGGCTGCGGCATGTATTTATCTATCACTCTCTACAGGCCCTTCCTTCCCTCTGGGTTCCTTGCAGTCAGGGGCTGCCAAGTGCAATAGCTTGGCCTGGCAGTTCTGAATGTACTCTTCAGTAGGGCGGCTTTCATCCAGTGCCAAGGCAAATTCTCACAACACTCAGAGCAATCAAAGAAACAGAAAAGGAAGAAACGTCTTTTAGCAATACTACCCGTTCGAGGATAACCTTTTGGGCTACACGAATCCCAGCCAAGTAACAAACAAATATATAACACCCATACACACTCTCCATTTAGAAGTTTAGCAACCAGAAAAGTAAGGCATCTTTGTGCCACCAATATAATTGGGAGTCATAGCTTTGGAAAGGAGCTCAGACTTAGATATCTAAATGGAAGCATTTGATTTAAATAAATTCCTGTGTCTTGATATTAAAAATCTGCCGAAACACTGAATTGACAAAGTGGCATCATGCCCTGCTTGTGGGTTTCGTGGAAGTGAATGTCTGGTCTAATGCAGGACTATAAGACGGATTCGTGGTCTGATCCAGTATGTTTCAAAATCATTTCCCCCTTTGAATATCCAACCTGATGAAAAGATTTTAAAATAATAATAGTTGGTTGAAATAAAAAGATAGGGTCTCACTCAACTCTGTTTCTCATTTTGTGGGACCTAAATGCTTAAAAGCACGCAGTGTGGGCTGTGCTGGATATCTAGAGCCAGGGTAGGATTCATTGGTTATGCATGCTGACAGACCAGAAAAAGCAAACTCCAGATCTAAAACGAAAAGCATATATTTATCTTCCCACATAAACCAAACAAGACACCCCTTCAGTTGTGAGCTGCAGTAAAGATTACAAAAGGTATTCTACCTGCATTCAATGGGTAAACATCAATTTGACGAATATAAATAAGCCAGCAGATTATCCAATATTTGTCTATCATTACCCAATTTTTATCATTAAAAGCCAGCAATATTTAACACTGCATTTCAAACGAAAGCTCTAAAGTATTAACAAACAAATAGCCGGGCACATCTCAGCCCCATCTGAAACGATTCAGGAAGGCATTGTTATAGCATATTGCTGCTGCCTATAGACCAAAATAGGTAATACAGGTGTTTTAGACTGGATATTCCATTCATTTGTTCTACAGGTGGCAGTAGCACATTGTAGCAGTGACATGAATGTTTCCCTATTAATTTAGATTTCTCAAACACTGTGCCCACTTCTCACTCATAAACTTATCTTATTTCCTACTCCTTCACCTCCTGTACTGTCCATCTCTTATACAATCTCTACTTCTCAATCCTGGTTCCTCTTCATAGGCTAACTCCAGTCCTAAGTAACTTAGAAATATTGGGCTGGTGCTCTTTGCAGGATTAAAACATAAACAAAAGGTACTATGGTTATACAGAACAACTAGGGCTGGGTTCATACAGGTAAACTATTTTAAATCAATTAGGCCTGGCCAAAACTAGAATTAGGCAGAAAGCAGCATGTTTGAGGGTGAGGAGGCATCTATGCATCCATCTGTGTGCAGTATATAACAAACTCACAAATTTAAACTGGGTCAGCTATTGCACACAAAAGAAAACACTTCTTTAAAATGACATCAGAGTTCTATCATATGAGGTCATAATTCAATAAATAACACATGCCGATCTATGTAAATGAGATTTATTCATTATCTACATTAATAAAAACTTTCATCAGTTATCAGCAAGTAGTGCATTCCAACAATTTTTTGCAAACTATTTCATTCCATTACACCTCTGTCACTGAACACTTAATTGCTCAGGTTCAATGTTAAGGTATTTGCAAGCCCATTTTGGTCCAATGAGGATGTTACTAATGAGACTTTCTAACACATCAGGAATAATGCATAAACACTCCAATAGCAGGTTTACAACAATCAGTAATCACAATCTTTAGCAGAAATGTGCTCCTGAAAATTGACTCTGCAATGTGATCATTTTAAAGAGCCGAAATGAATTGTGACACACAAAGGCATCTCTTTAAAAAATGGACAACAACTGGAAACTGCTTATACTGCCAAAGTCCAGTATTCTGATAAAGTTTCTGTTAGTCCACATTGTCATTAAAAAAACAAGATAAACCTTGAAGCAGTGGCGTGTGAAAACCAAACTTACATATAATCAGACACTATAACCTTGTAAAATGCTGTCCAGGTGAAAAACAGAAAACTCTCACCCTGAGGAATACCAAAGAATTTGCTATGTATGCACCACGTTCTTGACGAGATTTAGAATATCCTGTAGAGTTATATAAAACAACGAAAAGAAGGACTGTTGACAGGACACTGCTGGCAAGACCAATGAAACTGCCAAGCAACTACAATATGCCTCATCAAATACTGAGCAAGACCAACTGTCAATGTCAAGGTCTCAAGAGAGAAGAAACCACATTTGGTGTGCCAGAAGCTGGCCATTGAACAAAGAACTGAACGCAAATGAATGAATATGCCTTTTCCCTTGTAAACTCGCATTCCTACAGATACCTAAATTCAGCTGAGTCTCAGATCTTAAGTAATTTCACTTACATGGTGAACATAAATTGCTTGTTAAATTCTGCTGTATCTCCAAAAAGTCAGAGACTGTTTTGCAAAGCAAAATACAGAGAAAGCTCCCCCAGTTTCTCATATTAATTTTGAACACAGCTGAATTTTGGAAAGCATACCTCTATAAAGCCCCGTAAAAACAATGCTACAAATTCAACACACCTTCACTCTGAAACAAGTAATGTAGAAAAATAATGTGGAAATTCTTTTTCCGATGACAAGGCCACACACAAGTAACACCCAGGCTACATTACTATAATGTGCTGTACAGGAATTGCCAAAACACAATCATTATAAGCTCAATTGGTGGAAAAAGGAAAGTTGGATGTTGCCAGTATGTGGATAGTTGTAACTCAAATAATGTACAAGTATAGCAAGAGCGAAATATATCATGTTTATTAAATTCCTACCCCCGTTTTCTTCTGGAAATTCAAAATAAGTAGCAGCACAAAGGTACAAATAATCTAGGCAATATCAAACAGCATGATAAAATATCATAATAATGGAATCAGCAAACACAACAGATGATCAGTTCAGTTTTCCCCAAATACTTCTTTAAAGAGCCAAGTTTTCATCAGCTGCTGACACTACGCAGGCCTCTCTAGGGAAGAACATTCTACTACAGCATCAGCACAACCAAAAGGGCCCAGTTCATGAAGAACCCATCTAAGAGAAGGTGGCAGTCCTTTAGATGCACTAGGTTATGAGTGATGGAATAGAGGAGGTAAAGAAACACAGCCAAAAGACTTCCTTTGTTCTTAACACAGTAAAGCAGCTGGGGGGAGAAACAGCAACAATAACTGAAGACACAAAGCTAATTAACGGATGTGTTGCATCCAGAGAAGCCTGGCTGCAAAGTGGGCTGGGGTGTGTGTGTTGCTTTGCAACTGGGTGGGACAAAATAACGTTCCTTCAGCGCATGCTTCTTCTTCACCCCTGGCCCAGAATTAATTTGTTCATACAAAGATGCCCAGGCAGTGTTATTAAACCGATAGCCAATGAAAAAGAAATTTCTCTTTTTAGGGGAGTAACGGAAACTTATTTTTAAAGAAGTTGTTTCCATGGGATAAAAGTCGGTGCTTTTCATTTTCTAGCCCACAGGCTCCATGGTGGAGATCACTCCTGTAAGGTAGGAGGAAAGGACTGCAGTAGAAGTGTTTTAAATGCAGCCTACAGCAAAGAACTTTGAATTCTGAAAAGCTGCAGGTGAGAGCTATATATTCTCCTTCCGGCAATCAGACTTATAATAGACGCACAACAGGGGGAAAGTCAACAATATAGAAGTAGTAATTTGCACTTCAGTCTCTAACACACTCACAACTTCCCCTCCTACACTAATAGGTGTATACAGTACTCTTATGATCCCAGAACAGTTAAATGTATGTGGTTAGATAATCCAAGGAGCACCAAGGCATTTCTTTAAAAAGGAAAAAATAAGCACTTATTAATTCTGGGATGACTTGAATTTGCTATAGCTTGGAAGTGCTATATATTTTTGGATGGTCCAAAAATCCAATTCTATTTTTTTACATTAAAAAATATTTTTATGTAAAACATAAAACCTGACACTCATTTTGACCTGACGCTGATTCTGAGATCCCAATCAGCTGCCAACTGGTTCTATAAAAAGTTAAAATGACCCATACCTGCTTCTGGAGCATCGCCACCTGCCAGAGTTCCATTTTCTTGCTGAGCTATCAGGTTTTTCAATATAACTTGTGTGGCCCCCAGTCTTGGCAGTGTAACGTGTGTAAGAAATGGCAAATTGTTTTTCTTGGCAAATGCCTGACTGGTCTCTCTTCTTTTTCTAAGAAAACCACCTTCTGGAAACAATACAATCCACTTCCGATCGCGGCTCCTATAATGTTTTTCTAGATGTTCTTGGAGAAGCAAAAGCTGCTGGTCACGATAAGCTTTTCCCTAAAATGCAAATATGGAAACGTAAGTACAACTTTCTAAGAAAGTTTATTTTCATAATGCTATTGTTTACTTAAAAGAAATAATATTCCCAAAACAAATTATCTCACTTGGCTGAATTTAGAGTTGGGAGAGAATTCCTACCCACCCCTATTTCCATGTAAATACTCTTGTCACATACTATCAGAAAGATAATATAATCCCCTCCACATAACCTGTGACAGCCTTCCCCAATGAGGTACCCTCCAGATATTTTGGACATCCAGAAGACACCAGGTTGGAGAAGTCTGGTCTAGAGCCCCCAGGCTGCCCAACTCACAACCGCAGGGTCATTTCTTCATTGAAATCCGAACATATAGAGAAACATGATATAGCGTTGATGAAGTTTTTTTTAAAAAAAATATTTCTGGTTTTCATTTAAATACAATTCAATAGTTTAACATTACTTCTAACATTTCCAATCTTGACTTCCTTCCTCCTCTTCCTGCGGTTCCTTAAATTTATAATTTCATGCATATTCTAAATTAACTTATTCTTTTATTCATCTGTTTTAAAAGAATATATAAATTGCAGGTTATTACAATAATCCTGCCAATGTCTTTTCTCTGTTTATAATTTGTTAGATATTCAATAAACCATTTCCATTCTTTTATTTTTTTAAAAATGTCATCTTGATTTCTTATTCTTCTGATAAGTTTCACAATTTCTGCGTAATCCCTAAGTTTTTGTATCCATTCATCTCTCGTCAGGACTTAATTGATGGAAGTTTGTTTATTTATATCACATCTCAGAGGATGATGATGGGGTCAATGCTAGCCATTTCTTACAGACATGTATCCCACAAGAAACACAACCTTTTACTTCATACTTCCCTCTTCACCAGCTATACAACACTCCCAGATCCACCAATTCCAGTCAAATGGCTAGATCAAGCAGCTGAATTTTACTGACCTGTAACTTATGTCAGTCAAAAGGTCCTATCAGTAAAACCCACACCAAATTAGGTGCAATTAGGCTTGAAAGAATATTGTACCTAAGGAGGAAGCGCTAGGATGCCTTAATAGCCCCAGAGACTCTATAGCATAGATAGGAAACCTGTGGCCCTCGACATGTCATTGGACCCTAACGCACATTATCCCTGATCACTAGCCATGCTGACTGGGGCGGATGGGAGTTGAGTCCACTATGTGGAGGGTCACAGGTTTCCCACATCTGCTCTATAGAAAGTATTGACTAGTTTCCAGGAATGAAGAGGCAGGCTCAATTGCCCTGAAGACATTTCTTTACATTCCATTTCAACTACTATATATTTAGGTATTGCCATATGTTTCCTGCATTCTCTCTTCTCTCCTCCCCAGTTCTCTTTTAGCTACCTGAACAATTTTGGGGAACAAGTAGGATAAATGTACTCCTAAATAATATATTATCTTTGAAACATTAATTTGGGGATAAACAGTTGGTTTTGTGCCAAGGTACACTGTGGAAATGTTTTTATACACTATGACTACCTAGCATAGTCGATGAAATGGGTGACCACTTTGAAATCAGATGATGCTACTGATACAGTTTAAAAAAACAAAACAAACAAAAAAATCCATTACCTGTCTTATAAAGAAGTCTCCATGAATTAGAGATACAATTCCAAAGTTTGTATATTTAAAAATATAATCCATCAGCCACATCATCTTACGAACAACCTGGGGAAGTTCAGACAAGAACCTGTCAGTGCACTCCAAAGTAACACAACAAATAAACAAGCCAATGTACAAAGTAAAACATGGTAACCCTTCAGAACACATTAGCTAGCAGAAAACCATTTTCCTTACTAAGAAGTCTGAATATAAATGCCATCGAGAATAACACTGTACAGATGTAACCACTAAAAGACTATTACCTTTCAACAAAGTCTTATTTGCAAAAACATACTCTCCCAGAATTCTACTCCCACTCAATCCAGCAACTTCACTGTTTTCATTTCACAGAGGGGAAAAATACAGATTTGATCTCTATTTGTTAAACATCTTGGGTAAATCATTTGATTCTTCGGGAAAAAAATCTGTCACTTCCAATTAATCTGTATTAACAAGCTTTTACAATGACTTTCATATGCACTTTTTAAAAATTAGTTTAAATAGTCCTTACTTTCAACTGAATACATTCCTTGAATTGGTTTGATTGAACAGATGGGCTGCTTTCTTGCAAGGGAGAGCAAGAGAATATAAAGGAAAAATCTAAGATGGGCTTCTCATGATAAGCTATACAAGAACAGCACCTATTCAATGAATTATCTATTGTATTCTTTGTACTGTTCTGTTTCAGAAGGAGAATATCTACACTATTTAATTTTAAAAGATCTCTGCGGGTATACAATGAAGTAGGGAGTTTTGAAATATGAAGACACTGGCAGAAAATAATCAAATTTTTCCTACCATCATATTACCTTAAACAGTGTTATGTATGCATTCCGTCCACCATACTTGGAACATTACAAATTTCCTACACAGAAAGCACGGTCAAGAGAAGAAAAGCCATGAAGACCATGTAAGTTGTATGTGTTAATCACATTCACCTATTTGTCTGCACACGTTAAGTGTGGGGAAGTGTAGGGAACACCAGCTTCTCAACATAAAAATATGCAGTGAAAACAGATGCATTCAAGGAACTTTTCACACTTCTTCCTGTATGAAGATACTTTTTATGTAGGCAGTTTCTATCTAGGAAATTTGTAGTGTTTACATAGTTCTCAGAATGTAAACCTTCTGGATAGAAAATTCAGGTTCCCCCTTAATCCAGTTACCCAACAAACATCCAACCATTCAGTCTCAAATTAATCTGGAATGCTGGCAATCAGAGCAAACAATATTGGGCAAGATCTGTATTCTGGAACCTTTTCATACCAACGACACATCTTTCACTCAAATGTACATTCAGGGACCCACTTAATGGGACACTATATATCTGTAAGGTGTTAGTGCTGCTGCTGTGACCCACTTTATGTCAGGTTGCAATGCACAAATGGACCCCAAACTAGCAGCCAGTGGGCCAGAGAAACAAAAGGTCCTAACCCTATATGCTTTATTGGCATTGAGTGAATGGCTAGTATTTAATCAAGGAATGGGTTCATCTATTTTGGTTTAAACTTTGCCATACCAGTATATTATATTAGTTATATTAAAAGCTACAGATGGGCGAATTGACCCATTATAATTCAGAATCAGGCAGCCAGGTTACCAGTCCAGGGTTATAAACTCAGGCAAACTATTTCCTGTTTTACAATCTTCTGAAGCACCTCTGAATTTTCGCATATGCACATCACCAAAGCAGATCTTGGAAACAAAAGTGTGAATTTGGCATTCTTTTTCCACCCCACGAATCACAAGGCATCCTTCTCATGTGGGCTTCATTTACAATAATGAGTAGATCAACATGGAACCACAGGCAGAGACAGCAGCTATGGAACAAGCCAAACAAGCAGATGCAGTGACAATGCCCATTCCTATTTGTTGAAAGACTCAGTATGCTGCTGTCGTCAATGTGGAGACTGCTTCTGCCAGTTGTTGTTCCCAATTCCAGAATGTAAGTGTATTTATTTCTTTTGGGGGTGGGTGGGACGGTTAACTGCAGAGGCGCTAGACTCCTTCACTTATTTTTATTATTTAAAATAGTAACAATGACAATGGACTGGATGGAAAGTTTGCATTCTCATCCAATGTATTATTTATTTTTTAAAAACTCGAAAAGAGTGCCTAATTAAGCAACTTTAAGACAGAAATAACCAATTTTTGCTTCATTATTAGAAGTTTGTTTGGTTTTTGTTATACTTCCTTTCCTGCCTTTTTGTACTTAAAATAATTTAAAGTCAGGAAATATAAACATATCATGTTTCAGCAATTATCAAAAATAATAAACACTGTTTCTGTAGATAACCAGCTTTACTTTATTGTGCATTAAACTAGCATGATGGTATGAATATTGCAGTGTGGGTTTTCATGCTTGTTTTGAAAAATAGTTCATTATGGACTTCAATGAGGACTTCTTCAAAAATGGCTCTTTGATGAAGGCTCGGTCCTTTCTCCTTCTTCTCATCTTCCTGCTCCACATCTACTGCTTCTGTTGTTGCTGTATGATACATGTGCTGGGAAGCCCCAACTGAGTTTTTAAGGGTCCACTGGCTGCATCTTTGGTATCCGTGACTGGTTCAAATATGAACATTGTCTGTTGGCAGATTATTTATGCTGCCAGTTACAATCCTTCCAGCTGTGCTGAACAGACTCTCAGAGTGGATACCGGTGGGAGGGCTAGCAAGGGAGTCCAAAGAAACAGTGTGTGCTGAGCGCCACAAATGCCACTTGTGTTCCTGATAAAAGCATATAGGTCCTTAGGGCTTTGTTAAATTCTGGCACACCCTCCCCCTCACAAGTTCCTGCCTTGTCGCTGCTGCAGCTTCATGTCTGGTATAAGGTGAAGAATCATTTTCATTTACGAGTCCCAGACAATCCACCTGGGACTTCTGCAAGACGAACGAGGGATCAGTCTCAGTGTCTCTGGATGTTGCTGAGATTTGTTCCATAACCTTTGAAAAATTGCTACTCAGTGCATCAGATACTTTATGCTGTACCTTACAAACACCTAGTGCGTTTCGAGACAAGCCATCAGTTTCTCCCACCAAATACTCATTCATCCTACCTAACTTGTTTTAAACGGGACCTTCCTCCCTAAATAGTTAATGAATCTTGGGGTAAGGTAACCAGCAGTCCACCAGATAATCTCCCCCTGAACTGCCTTGATATGCCTATTGGTCAGAAGGCTGCTTGTGAGAAAGGTCCTTTATTATTTGAATGAAGTGAAAGTTGGAAGGGGGGAAAAACCACCATTGATTTGGGTTGTTTGCAGAGGTACAATACTACTACTGCAGCTTGCAGGACATCCTGCGCTAGGCAGCACAGTGGTAAGTTGTTGTGGTGGTCTCAATCTTTCAGTCTTGTTTGTGAAGATACCGTTTGTTTGCATTAATCACTAATACTCCTTGCAGTTTTATGTGTGGTCTGCCCTTCAAAACCATGTTTTAGCAGTGAGGTATGTTGGATCCTACCATCATACAGTGTCTTCATAATGTTTGTTGCACTGTCTGCTTTGAAATCCAGGCTGGGGGATCAGCACTCAACTGAATGACTGCTGTCAGTTTGCATGCAACACTGACTGCAGCATGTACACAGCCAAATCCAGGTATGTTTAGAACCACCTGTTGTGTCACCAGACTGCCCATATCTGCAACTGTAAACCAATGAGTAGTAACAAGACATGTAGTCTTGTACTCATTAGCTATTGCAAATATCTATGGTAAGATGTACGGTCCCACCAATGCCATCTTCAAAGTTTGTACTGGGAGCATCTTGTAACAGCAGCTGAAAGTGCAAAAACTGCTGTTTGAAAAAGTAGTTCCTTCCAGACAACTTCTCTTGAGGGACACAGTGATGGATAAATACTCCAAAATACAGCTTATCAAGAAGGGATAATGGTACCCTCCCATGGTGATTAACTCTACAAGCCACATAGACCATAGAACTGTAGGGTTGGAAGGGACCACGAGGGTCATCTCATCTAACCCCGTGAAATTATTGAGTTCCACTGTCCTGGGGTCATTGGGGTACCAGGTTTGCTTCCTAGCTAGCATTTGATGCAGACTGAACTGAATTCCGCATGCTACAATTTTGTGTGGAGATGGTGTTGGGGAGGACAACAGGCAGGAATTTATGCAGGTACTGCAAAAGGCTGAACACAGAGAGAATGCATTGCCTTTCTCATCTCCTTCACAGTGCCACCCAGAACCTGAGTCAAGTCGTGCTTTACTTACAAAAAAGAAAAAAGAAACTTTATATTTGATACTGGGGGGGGGGGTCAGTAGTAACTAGCTGGAGGAGAAAAGAATGCCCAACCACGAGCAAGAAAGAAATGATGCAAATCAACATGTCTGATTCTCCAAAGTGATTGATGCTTGTATAGTTTCTGATCCAAACTTTTAAACTGCTTTGCTACACTTTGTCAAAAGAACCAAAGTGGTAAAAGGAAAATTTCTTTGAACATGCACAACATGGGATATTTTCATCTCCTTCGGTAACTAAAGGGTTACAATAGGCAAAATCTGAGCTTGCTATAAGATGGAGTTCCACGCAGATGACAGAGGCACAGAAAAGAGAGTTTAGCTTGTAATAAATTTCACTGGCTTCAAGTTGGGGTTCATTATGCAAACAGGAATTATGAACCTGCTGGGTTTACCATTTGAACAGACTAATTAAGAATTCTGGTATCATCACAATTACATGCACACACACAAACTACTGGAAGCAATTTCATTTTTGGACTGATGTTCAGAACAATTTATTTCAACCCACATTCATTTGATTAAAAAACAAACAAAACAGATGGATGGCATGTATTCACTTTTATAGCCTTGCACTAACTAGAAATAAAACACTAAATCAAATGCTTCCCATTTCAACCATCTTGGAGTAAAGACCATAAATATTTCTAAACAAATATTGTTTGCAGGCCATATCCCATTTTCAGAACTGAAGATAATGGGAAATGCATAATTCCCATTTTATCACCTGAACATAGCAGTCAAGGTTTATGAGCATTTTATTATGAAAGACTAATGCAATGCAGTGCATTTTTATTCAGCAAGCATTGTCTACAGTACATGAAGGCAAAATTAAATGGATGTTTGCTATCCTTGAATGCCCCCTGCTTTGCTTTCCATTCCTGGGTAACATTCACTGTGCAACTTCAACTCCTTTCCTCTCCAGAAGTGGACACGGGGAAGCATCTCTTACTTTGTGCCTTTCCTCAGTCACTTACTTTGATCTGCTTTCCTGGGCCACTTGGATTGCTAAATGATTCCTGCTCTGCAAACAACTCTGGTGTCTGTATGCCCTGCTTCTATAGCACAGCCATCTGGAGGATCTGGGCCACTCTGCAGAGGAAGGAGGGCAGCTAGATCCATTAAATGGACGTGAATTTGAGTCTCAGGGCTAGGTACCAGACTTGGCAGTGGTCTCTAGTGCTATGATTCGGAGCATATTCTCAATATGGCCTACCCAGTATGAAACAGCGGTGAATACAAAAATAGCATACCGTGCCTTTGTCCTGAAGGCACATCATTAGGGTGCAAATGTCTCCTGTTGCTTGATGGTTCACCAACATCACAGCTTCATCTTCTGAGATGGTTTTAATATCATCTCCCCATTCTATGACTATTTTGAAAAAAAGGGAAAGGAAAGACTTATTTAAAACCACATATTTCTAAAAGTTAAAAATTCTTTTAAAATGTCATTACAAGCAAGTTTAATTGGTGTGTGTGTGTGTGTGTGTGTGTGTGTGTGTGTGTGTGTGTATATATATGTATGTATATATATGAGTTAAGCAAAATTATTTTCTTCAGCACAATAGAAACAGTCGATTTCATTCAAAAGGCATTCTAGCAGACCACATTAATCTATAAACTTAGAAGAACAAACATAAAGAACCCAAAAATCTGCAGCAGTAAGATAAAACTGAATTGCAGTTCCCGAATTAAACATCAGAAAGAACACATTCACTAATCAATACATTGGTAATTAAGTAAGGATGACAATATTGGTTACAGAGCGTACTATCTTTAAGGGGGGGAATCGTCATGAAATTGACACAGGCACTTTAAACGTGTCAATTCAAAAACAGGAATCTGTATTCTGACACCTGAAGATTTTAAATGCACTAGATAGCAAAAAGGATATCAGGCATTGCTTGGTGTTGCAAGAGGAGAACAAATCAGTGACCCTTGGCCTTGTAGGCGCTCCTCTTTTCCTCTAAAGTGGACTAGTTCAGAAGCTTTTCACTTCTGTTTCTACTTGTTAATGTAAAGTATGTTTGATTTAAAATAAGCCAGCTTCAAACCATGGATTATGAAGCGACGTTGTTCAAACAAACTGTGGTTAATGTTAACCATAGTTTAAGGCAGAGGTGGGGAAACAATGATTCTCCAGATGTTGTTGGCCTCCAACTCCCATCACTCCAGCCAGTGTGGCCAAGGAACAGAGGTGATGGAAGTTGTAGTCTTGCAACATCTGGAAGGCCACAAGTTTCCCAGTCCTGGTTTAAGAGTTTGGATGCAATGTTGGATGTGGTTAATGAAAACCAGCAGCTCATTGCAGTCATGCCAGAAAAGCAAAGGGCAGCAGGTAAAAGGTCCCCCCCCAAAGGAACTATTAATGCAGGCAGGAAAACAAAACTCTCAATAGTATAATTCCTACATTTCTTGGGGACAAGACAGCAGTAGCACCACAAATAATTTATCAGCTATATCTAATGCACAGGCTGTGCTCACTCTTGGAAAGGTGGGGCCCCACCATTGTTTTCCATTCTTTTGTAATCACAATGATCAATTTAGTATTAAAGTACTGTAAACAAACAAAATACAGCAAGCCCACAACTTACGCTCCATTAACTTGTGCACATTCCGCATTATGAGCTTGGCACAAAATAATAAATTTAAATAAGGAGGTGGGGCAGAAAGGGGACGGGCGTCCGTGAAAAAAGACTTTGACGATCTCACCTGCCACTGAACCCAATGTGTTTTGAGCATACGTGAATTTGGTTTTAGGTACTATTCCCAGAATGCAACCCCCGCATAGGTTATGGGTAGTGATATGAGGTGAGAAAATTCTCTGGAGAAAATTCTCAAGAATGGGAATATTCTCGAGAATATTCTCTGCTAGAAAATTCTCTGGAGAGTATTTTCCACAAACTGTAAATTCTAATGTAAGAACCAGTTTCACAACCCACATTAAAAAAAATCTAGTAAATAATAAGTCAAGCTATGATATTGCCAGTGTTAAGTAATGGATAATTATTTTTTTGATCCAGTTACATTACTGGGCATTGTGTCATTCACCATTGGCAGTTCTGAAATGTGAGCTACAGAAAACATTTTTTAATTTTAGTTTTAGTTTTTAAAATGCTATTCATTTAATTTGATGAACATTTGAATTTGTATGTATTTCGACTATATGTAATAGCATTTTTTCCTATTTTGGTGTGACCTTATTCTTAGCGATTCTATACCCTTGGCCATACAGTGTGGTTTTTTTTACACAAAGTAGCTTTAATGCTTTATACACTTAAACTAACAGCATGTGAGGTGGCCTTGATTTAAACAGCTGATGTTTCTATATTTTTATTTAGTGCCAGTAACTGGATTTTGCAGTGCCATTCAATGGTACAAGGTGCCATTTACCAGAGAATGACATACTGAAATGTATTATCATATAATGATAAGATATTTAATGTTAATGGCTTCTTTTTTATATGTATGCTATTATATGTATTTTTATATGTATGTTTTGTTTATCAAGCTGTGTTTTAGTCACCAAAACAGTTATTAAGTGCTAGAGCTATTAGAAGCACAAGATAGCCTGTTACGGTTTTTGGTAGCTGTAATAGGCTATCTTGAACAAGTTTACCCATGAATAAACATGCATATTAACTAATTATATCATTTTCAATGCATTAAAATTATATCATTTTCAATGCATTAAAATGAAAATTCTCCTATTTTAAATGAAAATTCTCTAATATTCTCATTAATCGAGAATATTCTCCAAAAGATTATTCTTGAGAATTTAACATCACTAGTTGTGGGTTTATGGTACTGCAATGTTCTGCATATATTTGCCCTTGAAACTAGCCTGAAAAGCATAGATGGTCCAGAATGCTGTGGCAGATAAACATGTTTAAGCAATATTGCAAAACACCTGAGAACACTTCATAACCTGGGAATTTGGCGAGCACCTCTATCTGCCTATTGTCATCACTATCAAAGGACCAGATTAAGTGAAGTAAAGGAATGTGGTGTTTGGAGCAGGGCCCCCAGTGGTGACTCAGGGCTGTGGAATGACCTCCAACAGAAATTCTGATTGTATACTTCCCTTTCGGCTTTCTGTCAGTTATGTAAAGCTCATTTATTTAGGAAAGCTTGGGGGCATGAGGAATTGATGGCTTTTAAAAAAGTCACTCCTGAGTTTTACTCTGTAGGAAAGCTTGGATTGCTGCACTGCTTTTTCTGCGTTTATAGATATGATGTTCCCGTAAATGTTGATTGTTGGTTGCCTTAAGCAGTTCTAGAAAGGTGGGCTTAAAAACAGTAGTTTAACAAACAAACCAAAAGCAAGTACCAGAAATTTGCTGTGTGTGTTGCAGCAAAAGCCAGAGACACTATTGTGGCACCTTAAAAGCCAAGACAATGATGGCAGGCCAGAAAAGGGGTTCTCAAATGTTCTATCCTCAAGCCACTTAGTATGCTTACAGAGGCCCACCAGACAGAAAATGGGAGATACAGGGGAGAAGCCAGTCGCAAAACAGTGGCAGAGCTTGGCATAATCAGCTGGCAATTACTGTCACCACTTTCTACCAATAGCTAATCCATATCTGATTACTGCTCAATTCTTTGCTGCGGCATTTGCCTTGTGGCAAACTATTTCACAGCTTAGCTTTCCTTAAGAGGTTCTTCCTTTTATGGAATCAACCCAAAGATTATGGCATGGCTTGCAGGCTATGGCACTGAGGCCCAGTTAAAAGTGGTCTGTGGCCAGTGTCTGAAAAAAGTGGGTTAAGTTTTGTGGACTAGAATCCACTCCACCAGATCAAAACCTAGTGCTGGCAAGGCCCTAAGCAACAGGACAGAATCAATAGTGCTTGTGACCTGTACAGAAACGAATGAATTATATTTAATCTGGCTGGGTTTAAAGTTTGCCATGGCTCTGTGGTCAAACCCTCCCTTCCACAATGTCATGCTCGCAAGCGACCCTTTAGCCTTCAGACCGCTGGAGCAAGGAAAACAAACATAGTTTGAGAGGTGTTTTTTGTGCTTCTTTCCATGCATAAAGGCTTAAAAAACAAACAAACTGCTCAATCTATCAATCACCAGGAGTGCAGCAACTAAACAAGAACATTGATGTGCTCCCCTGTGAAATGACCAAGGAGCATCCAGAGGTAAACTGTTTAAAGGGCTACTGAACAAGAACAAGCACTTCCATTACAAATTGTTCCTATTGCCGGACATTTGAAGACTGCACCTACAATCAAGTAATAAATTACAGTACACCAAAGAGAGGAGGGAGGGAGGGAGTAATGTCTACTGCATGGCAAAGTATTTCAGTTTCTGTTTATTTGTAACCATAGACCCGAGGGCAGGCAACCATAGCTCTGAGTTTAGGTGGTTCACAACAGAGGCGTAATATAAACAGATCCATGAACCAAAAAAGCGAGATGAGAACATATTCAGATATTAATGATTTAAAATACACATAGGCAAAGTGAGGAAGGCCGCTCTCATTCCTTGCCAGGTGCAATAATGGTGCTTCTACCTTCCTCTCCCTCCTGCAATTTCTGGGTTATTACTTGCACTCAAAGTGGAGAGCTAAACTTGGAGAGAGGACTGGAGGTCCATTATTAGATCTCCCATGGTTCTCACCCCCCCCAAACCCAAAGCAGCAAGGAGGCTGGCCCAAAATATTTTGTCACCTGAGGCAAACCACAAAATGGTGTTTCCTTCCACCAGGGGAGAAGGGATGAATGAAGATCTACATCAGGAACAAGGGCTGGGAGGAGACCAGCACTGCTTCCTATTTGCTAAGAGGTCGCTGTAGAGGTGGAATGGGGGGTGGCAGGTGATACGTTCCTTAGAGACCAGATCTTCTGCCCCTGTGGATGCTGCCACCTGAGGCAGTTGCCTCACATTGCCTCATGGGTGGGCCAGCCCTGAAGTGGGGAAATGGAGCTGCAGGATAGCAACTTTTAAAATTATTCCCCCCTGCATATACCTACGGGCTCCCTCCCATCTCATTACAGCTCAGCTGCTTAGAGTGCGGTGCTGTTAATGCCAAGGCTGCAGGTTCGATCCCCATATGGGACAGCTGCATATTCCTGCATTGCAGGGGGCTGGACTAGATGATCCTCAGGGTCCTTTCCAACTCTACAATTTTATGGTTCTATGATCAGTAGTGTGAATAGCAATGGGAGCATTCGATCCCCCTTCCTCCGTGCAGCAACCCTGGAACAATCACTCCATCTTGCCTCATTTGAAAACTAATCTTTCTGAAGTTCTCAGTCGAAAAACAGTTATTCACTCAACTCATTTGTAACTCTATACTCCAGGTAGGGCAAACTCCAGCCTTTATCAGTAACTATTTCTGAAACCTCCCTCCCTGTATCATGT